ATTGGAAAATCTATAAGAAATGGACAAGTTTCTAGATACATAATGACCTAACAAAATTGAACTGAGAGGGTATGATAAACCTGAACAGACCAGTAGCAAGCAATGAGATTGAAACAGTAATAAAAAGAGAAAACATAGACCCTCCAAAAAAGAAATCCAGGGCCAGCTGAATTTTATCAGACCTTTAAAAAGAACTAATGCTCCCGCTCCTCAAATTATTCCATGAAATAAAAAAAGGAGCGTGTATGAACACTTCCAAATGCATTTTATGAAGCCAGTATTACCCTGATACCAAAACCAGATAAGGACACATCAAGGAATGAAAACTACAGACCATATCCTTGATGAACATATATACAAAAATCCCCAATGAAATGTTAGCAAATCATACTCAAAAACACATTAAGAAGATTGTACATTATGATTAAGTTGGTTTCATTCCAGGGATGCAAGGATGGTTCAATGTGCAAATCAATAAATTTAACCTGTCATATAAGTAGAGTTTAAGACAAAAATCATGTGATATTCTCAACAGATGAATAAAAATAATTGATAAAGTTCAACATCCCTTCACAACAAAAACTCAACCAATTAAGTATAGAAGGAACATTTTTAAATGTAATAAAGGATATATATTACAGGTCCACAGCCAGCATCACATTAAATGGAGAAATCTGAAAGCATTTCCTGGGATAGGAATGTACACTCCCACAACTCCTATTCAATATAGTAATGGAAGTATTAGCCAGAGCAACTGGCAAGACAAATAGAGGGGATACAAATAATAAGAAAGGAAATCAAATTACCCTTATATTGAAAAATCTAAGGAACTATCATTAAGCTGTCCCATGCAAAAGAGTTTCTAAAAAAATTTAAATGCCTAGGAATAAATTTAAGACAGGATGTGAAAAACTTTTTACCATGAAAAGTGCAAAACATTGATGAAAAGAAGAAAACAAAAAACAGGACTAACCATCCATATTCAGGGGTTGGAAGAATTAATGTTGTTAAAATGTCCGTACTACTTGTTTTAGTCAGCTTTTTGTCTCTGTTACAAGATACTCAATATAATCTGTTTAAAAGAGAAAAGGTTTATTTCGCTCATAGTTGGACAGGTTTCAGTTCACAGTTGTTTGGCCCCATTGCTTGACCCTGTAATGAGGCAACCCAAGTTGGCAGATGTGTGTGGCAGAGGAAAACTCACTTCATGGTAGCCAGGAAGCAAAAGGGGAGAGGAAGATTCTGGGGTTCCAAATTGCCAGTTCAAAAGGATTCCCCTGATGACCTCATTCTATTAGACCCACCTCCTAAAGGTTCTCTACCTCACAAACTTCACAACACCACCAGCAGCTGGGGATCAAGCATTTAAGACATGTCAACTTTCCTGGGCTGCCTCTGCTCAGTGCCTGTGACTGTCTGGTAAGCAATCCGTGTTCTTTGCATCTCTAACTTCCTGGGGTCTCCACTGYATCATCGGCTTCACTTTCATAGCTTCATACATTGCCTTTTTAGGGGCTGCTTCCAGGGACTCTTGACCCTGTCACATACTACCTGGCCTCCCGGATTTTAAATCTGTGAAGGCTCCATGACCCTACAACTCTTGCATTCTGCATGCCTGCAACAACAGCACTTAAATAGAAAATGCCAAGATCTGCCACCGAGGTGAACAGTAGCTGAGCCCACTTGGGCCATAGCTGCACCGGCCCTGAATTCCTGGAATGCCAAACACAGGGAAACGGCCAAGGGAAACGATTTCCTAGGGGGCCCTGTGCTAGCAGGGCACCCCAGGGCTCACTCTTAAAGATAAAATCTTTGAAATGAGTATACACTTTTACCCACTTAAGCCTGCAATGGGTGGACTCTTGTTGATTTCTGAGATCCCCTTAAGGCTTCTTGTTCTAGTTCAAGGTATTTAGCTTTTTTTTTTTTTTTTTTTTGGGGGGGGGGGGGGGGTACCGGAGATTGAACTCAGGGGCACTCCACCACTTAGCCACATCCCCAGCCCTATTTTGTATTTTATTTAGAGACAGGGTCTCACTGAGTTGCTTAGCGCCTCCCTGTTGAACTCGTGATCCTCCTGCCTCAGCCTCCCAAGCTGCTGGGATTACAGGTGTGTGCCACTGCGCCCAGCTTGCCTCCTTTTTAATGGCACTTATTCCTCCGGGAATCTGCACTCTCCTTGGCTACAAATGTAAACATGTTCCTTTTCTGAATCAAATGCAAGTTTCCCCAAATATTTCAGCTTTGCTTTTTGTTCCTAATTATCACCACAATTTTGACTAAMGGCAGCCAGCAATACCCATACCTCTTCCTGAATTCTGTGCTGCCTTAAAATTGTCTCTGCCAGATAAATCAGTCTGTCACCTTTAAACTTAAACTCCCACTAAATCTCAGGGCATGGAAAAAATATAGACACATTTTTTGCCAGAGCATAACATGACTGGTCTCTAGTCTAATTCTCAAATAGAATCCCATTTCTCTTTCTGAAACCTCATCAGCACAGCATTTACTGTCCAGCATTCAGGTCTTCTGAACTCCCATTAAAGTTACCAGTTCAGCTCTGCTTATCATTCTAGGCATTCTCTGGCTACCTCCTCTCCAAACTGTTTCCACAAACCAATTCCAAAGGTTTCTGAACCACACTGTCAAGTATAGTCATAGCAGTGACCCCACTTCTCCATAACAACTTTTCTGTGTTGGTCTTTTTTGTCTCTGTGACAAAATACCTGAGATAATCAACTTAAAGGAGGAAAATTTTACTTTGGCTTAGAGTTTCAGTCCATGCCTTCTTAGCATCTTTGCTTTGGGCCTACAGTGGAACAGCCCATAGCAGAGAAAAACTACTTACTTTGTGGCCAGGAAGCAAAAAGAGAGGGAGGGTCTGGAGGTCTTAATTTGCCCTCTAAGAGTGTATCCCTGATTTCTTTCCATCAGGTCCCATCTCTTAAAGATTTCACCACTTCCCAAAGGAGCCTGGGGCTTGGGACTATGCCTTTAACACAGGCCTTTGGGGTATATACAAGAGCTGAACCATAACACTACCCAAAATAATTTTAAAGATTCAATGTAATCCCTATTAAAATACTAATGAAATTATTTACAGAATAACAAAATTCATATGAAACCACAAAAAACTCTAAATAGCCAAAGCAATCTTGACCAAAAAGAACAAAACTAGAGCAACTGAAATAACTAACTTCAAGATATACTACAGAGCTATAATAACCAAAACTGCATGATCCCAGAAACAAACCTGTGCACCTACAGTTGACCAGTTCTTGATAAATGTGCCAAAAACATATTGGAGAAAAGACAGTTTCTTCATTATTCCCCATAATACAGGGAAAACTGTATATTCATATGCAGAAGATCAAAATTTAATCCACTTTCACCTTATACTAAAATCAACTCAAAGTGGACCAAAGAAATATAAGATGAAATTGTGAAACCACTAGAAGAACCAAGAAATGTGTTAGACAAAGGTAAAGACAATGACTTTTTAGATAGGACCTCAAAAACACAGAAGCCAAAGCAAAAATTGACAAATAGAATTAGAACAAATTAAAAAGCTTCTGCACAGCAAAAGAAACAGTGAAAAGACAGCCTACAGAATGGAAGAAAATATTTGCCCATTATTCACTGACAAAATGTTAATATCTAGAATATTAAGAAGCTCACAAAACTTAAAAAGAAACAGCAATCCAATTACAAAATGGAGAAATAATCCAACTAGACACTTCTCAAAAGAAATTCAAATACTTGAAAAAAATGTCAAGTATCATTAGCCATCAGGTAAATGCAAATCGAAACTACAATGAGATACATCTCACTCCAGTTAGAATGACTATTATAAATAATAAATGATAGGTACTGACATGGATATGAGGAAAAAAAACTCTTACACACTATTGGTGCAAATGCAAATTAGCATGGCCATATGGAGAACAATTTAGATGTTTCTCAAAAGATTAAAAATAGATGTATCATGTGATCCAGCTATCCCACTTCTGGGTATACATACCAAAAAAATGAATTCAGTATATCAAAGAAATGCCTGCACTCCCACATTAATTGCAGCACTGTTCACGAGAGCCAAGGTATTTAATTAGCCTTGGTATCCATCAACATATGAATGGAGAATGGAAAATGAAAATGTGGCATATATGCATATGGAATATTATTCAGCCATAAAAAATGAAATCCTGCCATTTGCAGAAAAATGGAAGGAGCTAGAATCTCTTAAGTGAGATAATTCAGATACAGGAAGACAAATGCCAGATGTTCCCATGTGGATGCAAAAAAATAATAAGTCTAAACATAGAGTATCAGATAGCAGAGGGTTGGAAGGGTGGGGAGTAGATTAAGGGAACTGAATAACAGGTACCAAAATAAAGATAGTGAAGACATTCTAGTGTTCTTCAGCACAGTGGGATAACTATAGCTCACAATAACCTATTATATATTTTATGAAAAACTAAGAGAAGCCCAAAACCTCCAAACAAATTATAAAGAGATGTAAATGTTACCCTGATTTGGTCTGTAAATATTATATACACATGTTGAAATATACTGTATACCATAAATATGTTTAATTATTATGTGAATTTTTAAGATTTAGTGAAGAAATAAAAGAATAAGGGAAAGTTGGAGAGGGAATGGAAAAAGCAAAGCCATTTAGATATGACCTTACATGATTTCCCTGAAGGCTTCAAAGGAGGAAAATAATCTGATTACTTTTTATACCTAAATGTAGTATCTTATGCATGACTGTTAGAATTATGGTTTATCAGCATTCTAGAACTGATTTCTGTATTTTTCTTGACTACTGTATGCAGTCTAATGTTATTTCTGTTTAATCTTCGATTCTTAACTAGGGTAGATTCTATGCTGAGAATAGACATACAAGCTGCTTCAGTCAGAGTAAGTTCTCTCAACTGTAACTGGTAAATGCAGGGCTTAAAGGACCATAACCTCAGAAAATAAAATAATGTATTTTATGTTTACATTTCATAAGTGGAATCAGGTGTTACTCTAGTAAAATTTGGGTTTTCATAAATATTGCCATATAAATAATCATATGGTGCTTCCATGTGCACCTCTGATCTATCTTCAGCGTTGCGTGTATCTTTCTGTTCTTGCTCAAACCTGAAACCTAAAGAGAAATGACAAATGATCAGATGCTAAATATGATAAGGTAGATTCATTTAATATGATACTATGGCCAGGTAAGATCTATTCCATATCCCTTTTCACCACTCAGAATAGATATCATTCATATATATATATATATATATATATATATATATATATATACACACACACACACACACACACACACACAATTTTAGTTGTTGATGGACCTTTATTTTATTCATTTACTTATATGTAGTGCTGAGAATTGAATCCAGTGCCTCACACATGTGAGACAAGCACTCTACCACTGATACACAACCCACCCAGAGTAGATACCTTTCTTTATATGTTGTTTAACTGAAATCATAAATTTCTGCCCCAAATTTCTGAATTCATCCTATTTTTACCACCATATATTATTGTTCTGCAGGACCTGAGATTGAGTGAAGTTTGATCTAATAACTAGCTGTTTGATTTGGGGTAATTATTAAAGTTCTTTAAGTCTCAGTGTCATCTGAAAGTTGGGATATAATAACACCTACCTCATCCTAATAAAGAGGGAATTAAATGTGATGGTGCGTGTAAAGAAGTTTTCCTAGTGTTTGTCATTTAGTTTTCTGTAATTAACTATTAGCTAATAGTTCTTTATTCACAAATGAATAGATGCCTTTTTTTCTTCTGCAGAGCTGAAGTTCCCATATCTATTCTGGATTTGACCTGCTTCTTGAAGAGGTGGCACACATTCTCTAATGCCAGTATCTTCAATTCATCATCTTCACTGGCTTCAGTGATGCAAATCTCCACTATGAGAAATAATTTTTTCTTGTTCTTGTGCTCCTTCTAACTACTATCCTGTATCTTTTCTTTCATGGTGATCTTTTATAACTCAGTAATTTATATTGTTTCTTTTTGTACCTTCCATTCCTTTATATTCTTTGATCTGCCAGTAAGAACCTACTAAGAGTTACACATTGGGATTTCTTTTTTTTTTTTTTTTNCTCCTTTAATGATCTTTACTTCTTCTTTTAAGAAGCAGCAACATACGCTGCGGCGGCGGTGGCGCGGAGCACAGAGCGGCTCACTCATTCCCCGCCGCCATCTTCCTGGTAGAAGTCCACATTGGGATTTCTGTTGCAAAGAGAATAGACAACACTCTGCCCTCTAGTGAAGAAGGTTACCTAAACTGAGCTCTAGAAGACCAACAATGATTAATCCTCCAAAGTGAAAATTGCATCACGTGTTTGAGGTACAGGCATGAAAACAGTGAGGAGCAAGAGGGGGAGCATGTACAAGTGGAAGGCGAGGCCACAGTCAGAGGCAAGGCCATGATCAGTTTAGGCTTTTTTTTGTGTGTGTGGTAGAAGACAATTTAAGGCAGCAGAGTGTGGTCATGTTTAAAAGCATGAATTTAGCTAACCTGCTTCAATTAAAATCCTGGCCCTCACACAAATTGTGTTTCCTCAAACAAATCATAGCACCTCCTTGTTTGCTTCTCTGTAAATGCAAATAATAGAACCTGTTTGGTTGGATTGTTTTGAAAACCAAATGAGTTACTTTTATAAAGCACTTTTAAGATGGCACTTCTACAATGCAATTGCTAAAGAATAGGAGGAATCATTTTTACCTTTATATGTAAGACTGTTATTTGGGAATAGAATGAAATTTTCTAGTTTGTTTAGGATTGAATAAAGTGTGTGTGTGTGTGTGTGTGTGTTTTAAGTTGTATCTCATGGTTTCAGCAATAATAGCCCTTTTTAAATGTTTTTTTAAAAAATTTTGAGCCAGGCATGGTGGTACACACCTGTAATCCCAGTGGCTCGGGAGGCTGAGGCAGGAAGATCTCAAGTTCAAAGCCAGCCTCAGCAAAAGCAATGTGTTAAGCAACTCAGTGAGATCTTCTGTCTAAATAAAATACAAAATAGGGCTGGGGATGTGGCTTAGTGGTTGAGTGCCCCTGAATTCAATCCCCAGTACCCCCCCCAAAAAAAAAAATTGAGATGGGGTCTTATTAAGTTGATTAGGGCCTTGCTAAATTGCTAAGGCTGGCCTTGAACTTGTGATCTTCCTGCTTCACCCTCTGGAGGTGCTGGAATTATAGGCATGCACCACTGCTCCCAGCTTCAGCAATGATTTTTAATGGGCAAACTTTATTTGGCAAAATAAATGTCACAAAATGTTGAAAACACTTTTTAGGATCTATGCCACTATTGTTCTTCCAGTGGTCAAGAATATTGAGAAGCTAAAAGTTATATCTATATATTGTGTAGGTTACTGAAATTTTGGATATTTAGAAATGTTTACATATGTGAAATGTATAATTATAGTTCATGAGAATTTCCCAAAAGTATTGCTAAAAATCACCTACCTTTATAGTTAACTGAAGAGTTGCTTGTTGCAATTTCCTTCCAGTTTGCAATATACCTAAGCATGTTATATGGACATTAAATGAAATTGATTAGGAAGCAAAAAGTTAATTCATTAGTACATGTTTAGATTAATTATAACAATAGTCTCAATGTTAAATTCTTAGGACTTTCCTATATCTTAGTAGCTCACATGTACCTAAGGCAATCACCAAGACAAGGGGATGAAGGAGGTATAAAAATGGGGCCTACCATATGTCAGAGTAGTATCCTTTTGCCTTTCCCCCAGTTCCTGACTCATTTTATCCTGTTTCATTCCTGCAAGATCCTCAGTGAGTACCTACTAAGTTAGTAGCTAATAATTTCTAAATTTGAAGTATAGCAGAAAACCCTCAGAGGGAAAAGCCAATAGAAACATTCTCCTTAGTTTTGGATTGCCAGACCTGTTTCTGATATTTTAGAGGAAATTTAAACTACGTTGTTTATGATTTAAACAATAGTGCTGTCTTTGCAGTATCCATAAAATATAAAAGGTAATATTCAAGTTGGGCAAATGCAGCTAACTCTTCAGCTCCCTAAACGTAGGCTGAAATAGTGAGACCATGGTAACCAGAGAAGAGATAAAATAGGAAGAACACATATGATGAGCTGTGAAGATGAGCAGAAGTTCTAAGGCAGATTTCCTGAGACTTATTTCATCTTAGGCCTTATATCCCCTTTTCTAAGCCTCCTTCCTTTCAAATGCACCCAGTCTTACCCATAAATCAGTAAGAAGTTAGCCAAAGCAAGTACTGAAAGGGAGATGGCAGAGAAAAAATGAGGAAGATTAGAATTGTCACATAACAAAATACTCTGAGTTGTTTCCACTTTTTGGTTATTATAAAATAATGTTCCTATGAAACTTCATGTGCAGATTTTTACATGGACATATATTTTATTTATCTTGGAATGAAATTGCTAGATCATGATAACAACTTTATGTTTAATCATCTGAGAAACTTCCAGATTGTTTCCAAAGTGGGTGCAACACTGCATGTTTCCAGTATCAGCATATAAGTGTTCTAGWTTTCTCACACTCTCACCAACACTTGTTATTATCTATAGTTTTACTTATAGTCATGCTAGTAGGTACGAAGTGATACTTCTGATTTGCATGTCCCTAGTGATCATATTAAATATTTCAAAAATTTTACTATACAAAATTCTAAAAATGTTTTTCAAAGAACATTTTACTGAAAAATTATACCTTATTAATATCTCACACAGAAAAAATAGGAAATATAGATTGACAATATAATTTTTATAATTAATTTCATGTTCTTAGCCTTGTTTCTAAACTGCAAAGTACAAACAAAACAGAATTATACTAAAGCATAAGAATACAGTATGTGAATAAAAATAAAACAAAAACCACTTAAGTCTAATTTCTTTAATTCTTGGATCATTCCTCATTTTTCCCGCTTTTCTTTAGAAAAATAATACTAATTTTTGGAAGATTATGTTTGTGGCCCTAAGACTCACTATGGGAGTAGGAAATGTTAAAAAGAAAAAATAGGGCTGGGATTGTGGCTCAGTGGTAGAGCACTCACCTAGCAAGTGCAAGGCCTTGGGTTCAATCCTCAACACAAAAAAAATAAAATAAAGGTATTTAAAACAAAAAAAATCTTAAAAAAAAAAGTTAAAAAGAAAATAAAAGAAAGAAAAAATATATGACTGCCTTTCTTTTCCAAGAATAGCAATATGTACTTACTCATCAAAGTTGAGTGTATTGGTCCACTTCAGTACTTCATCTACTTCCCATTCCATCACAGAATCTATCCCACCATCTTCAATACTTTTCATTAGACCTTTTGTTGCTGTTTGAATTAAGCTTACAGTGCCATAATGAGTAGCCCTAGCCATGAGGCTCCCTGTGTAGTACCTAAACAGAAGAAGTGAAGAGAAAGGTCAGTCATTGCAATAGGTCATAACAAGCAGATATGATTGTTATATATTGTTGTTACATATCAATATATATATATATAAATTAAAACTGGGTATACATTAATACAGTTTTGATCCTATATACCCAGATGCATCTAAACTAAGATCTATATGATAGAATCTTTTGTGGGGGAAAAGAAGTTGACCACACTAAACCAAAGAGGCCTCACTTAAAAATCACCCAATAAGCTGCATTTTTAATGATACAGAGAAAAACTAAGTTGTTTAATCACTGAGTCATAGAATTATAAAGTATAAAGGATGTTAGAGACCAGATAACTAGCTGGCTTGTGTTAACAGTGAGGTAATAAACCCTGGAGGAATTGAGTACCTTCTACAAAGCCATGAATCTAAAGGTAGGTAGAGGGAAATAAAGGGGAAAAAGGAAATGGAGAGGATGAAGATTATCTAGTGAAGACAAACAATATCTTCATGCCAGGTACTTTTCATATATTTTTTTATTTAATTCTCTCTCAAAAGACAGTCATTTGTGACAGTTATTATTTATTTATTTTACTTTTTGGATAAAGAAAGTTGGACTTGTATAAGTTAAAAGACTGTTCAAAATCATRAAGGTAGAAAATATGTAGAAAGCCAGCATTTAAACTTGACTCTAAGTCCAGCCTCTTTTTGACACTAATTTGAGCACATGAATTAATATATCCACCAAACATAAGTATAAATTAGTCCTTAACAAGAATATAGAAATACAGTCATGCATTGCTTAACAAGAAATGTGACATTAGTCAATTTTGTTGCATAAACATCACAGAGTGTACTTACATAAACTTAAGCCACACCAAGACTATAAAGTATAGTATATTGCTTCTAAGCTATAAACCTGTACTACATGTTACTGTACCCACTACTGCAGGCAACTGAAATACAAAGGTGAGTATTTGTGGACCTAAACATAGAAAAGATACAGTAAAAATATGCTATAAACAATTTAAAATGGAGCTGGGGCTGGAGCTCAGTGGCAGAGCACTTGCGTAGCATATGTGAGGCACTGGGTTCAAGCCTCAGCGCCACATAAAAATAAACAAAATAAAGGTATTCTGTCCATCTACAACTATAAAAATTTTTAAAGAGAAAGAAAAGATTTAAAATGGAACACTTGTATAGGGCATGTACCATGAACAGAACTTGGTGAGTAAGTATATGCTGAGTGAATGTGAAGCCCTATAACATTACTATACATAGATATTATAAACACAGTACACTTAGGCTATGCTGAATTTATTTTTAAATGTCTTCCTTTAATAATTAACCTTAGCCTACTGTAAATGTTTTACTCTATAAATTTTGAACACTTGGTTGTACTTTAGTCACTGGAATCCTGTGACCCTTGCAATTGGGTTTCCCTTAACTTACACTGCAACTATAGGAGATGAAAAACTACTTCAGAGCCACTTTGGAGATCTTCTAATTGTCTGCACGTTTTTTTAAATTTAACAACTTTATTGAGGTATAATGGATGTACAATGAACCACATATTTAAATTACACAATTTACAGTTTTGACATGCATACAGCTTGGAAATGCATCACTACAATAAAAACTGTATCTATCCATCATCTCCTCCCCAAGTTTTCTTGTTGCCTTTTGTAATCTTTCCCTATTTCCTCCCTGCTCATTTCCAACAAACTATTTATAGATCTGCTTTGTAACTCTAGATTTGTTTCTAACATCTAGAATTTTATGTAAATGGAACCATGTAATATGTACTCTTTTTGTTAGCATTTTATTTAGCATCATAATTTTGAGATTGATCCATGTGGTTATGTGTATCAATAGTCTGTTCCTTTGTATTGCTGAGTGGTATTCACTCATGTGGATGTAACATATTTGCTTATCCATTCACCTACTCATGAGCACTTATACTGTTTCCAGTTGTGGGCTATTACAAATAAACCTGCTATGAACATTCACATTCAATCTTTTTGTGAACATTGTTATGATTTCTCTTGGGTAAATGCCTAGGAGTAGAATAGCTGTGTTGACTAACTTTTTTTTTTTTTAACTGCCAGACTGTTTTCCAATTAGCTGCACCAGTTTGCACATGCTCCGTATCCCTTGCCAAATACTGGTACGGCAGACTATTTTATCCATTCTGGTGTGTATATGGTGGTAACTCATTATCATTTTAGTTTGCACTTCCCTCATGCCTAATGATGTTAGTCATTAAATGAGTTGCTAATTTGCTATCAATATATCTTCATCAGTGAAGTATTTGTTTAATTTTTTGTCCATATAAAATTACATTGTCTTCTTATCATTACTCTTGAGAATTTAAAATATATTCTAGCCAGGCATGTTGGCACACACCTGATATCCCAGTGGCTCAGAAGGCTGAGGCAGGAGGATCACAAGTTCAAAGCCAGCCTCAGCAGTGGTGAGGCGCTAAGCAACTCAGTGAGACCCTGTCTCTAAATAAAATACAAAGTAGGGTTGGGGATAACTCAGTGGCCAAGTGCCCCTAGGTTCAATCCCTGGTACGAAAAAAAAAATTCTAGATTCAAGAACTTTTTCAGAAATATACTTTGTAAAATGTTGCTATTATTTTTACCTCACATTTCTATTTTTGTAAGAGGTTGTTCAAAGAACAAAAACTTTTAAATTTGAAGAATGCAGTTTAATATATATTTTTAAATTTATAGTTCATGCCTCTGTGTCCTGTTTAAGAAATGTTTGCCAGAACTAAGGTCACTAAAATTTTCTCCTTGATTACTTGTAGATGTTATGGCTTTTGCTCTTATCTTTAGATCTATGATCTCTTGAGTTAATTTTAGACATAACCTAGAGTCAAGTTTCATTTTTCTGCATCTCAATATCTAATTTGTCAAAAAAGCTATCTTTTCCCAATTAAATTCTCTGAGCACCTTTATTGAAAAATCAATTAATATATGTGTGGGTCCATTTCTTAAATCTATATTCTATTGATGTCTACTTTTATGCCAATACTGCAATGCCACCATTGTAATACCTTTAAAAGTCTCCAAATCAAGTAGTTTTAAGTTTCCCAAATCTGTTATTTCCTAAAGTATCATATAGGTTTTTAGTAGGTCTATTTCATTTACTTACATATGCCTCATCCATTCTATTTTTCGAATTTTTCTTTTCTTTTCCAAATCTTGCCTTCTCTTCAGTTTAGAAAAGTGAAACTCGCTTTTCTTTTTGCCTTCCATCACTTCTTTTTCATCTGGTATCCAAAACTATTGAGAAATGAAAATTGAGATATAAAGTATTGACATACTGATTGTGGATTTCTCTTGCTATAGATAAGAACTTTTTTGTCTTCATCAGGAATATACCAAGATAGAAACAGGAGAGAGGATAAACCTTTTCAAGGTATTTCCAATTAAGTCACCGGTGAGAAATACATAGAGCTTTCAGAAGCACATGCTATAGAAAAACAAACAAAGTATTTATGGACTAAAGTACTTTGTATTTGGCAAGTTAATAAGTAGACATATTCTAAGAGTGTTTCTCGACTCACATGAACAGATCTGAACTACACTTAGTGCTGTTGGCTTTTGATGAATCTATCCCTCAATGATTAATCAACCCTCCAGGCACACTCGGGATACATACCTCTATTTTGTCCTAAGTCTCTATAGGTTCCTCTGAATGAAACTTTCTCCTAACTAGTTGCCTACTTTCCCACATCCAATTCATCTCCCATGCCCAATCACACTATGTAACAGAATTTTCTACCACCTATAACACCATGTATTTGCCTTTATTAAAGTACTGAACATACTTGTTGCACTGGACTGAAATATCCTGTTTACTTAACTGTCTCCCCAATTAAAATGGCAAACTATTTGAGGGGAAGAATCATACCTTTTTACCACTGTATGCCTAATGCTTGCACGATTGACAGAAAGTCTGTTGAATGAATTCACACTTCATGTTTCATACTTAGTATATAAAAATATATATAATCTATATTCCAAATATATAATCTGAATTCCAGAGAATATCTAAAGATGGCCTAATATTAAAGCTGATTACTAGAAGTATAAGTAAATGTTAAGAAAAAGAGATAAATTGCTACTCTTAGAATTATTAATCCTAGAACAGTTTAAGCAAATTTTATCAATTACTAGCAATTATTATTTTTTAAAATGTTCAAAGAGAAAACAGTATCTAAATGTATAAAATTTAAAATTACTAATATTTCTCTTTTCTTACTCTATCAGAAACAGGCCTCCAGCCATTGTTTTCTATACGACGATACCAGCCACTATGATCCTCTTCTTGAAAATGATCATTTTTATTATTCGATGTATGGTTTGCTGGAAGATTTGTGTAATCTCTAGGGCTGTTAGCACACAAATCTTCAATATGTCTGTGAGTAAAAATTTTATAGTATATATCAGGTGGAAATTTAATCTGTAGATGGAAAAGTTCAAAGTATTATTGTAATGCAATTACAAATATGATTATAATTTTTAAAAATTACATCTTTTAAATTTTACAAAAATGTGCTTTAAAATTATTAAAGATTCATGTGTACTTACTCCACCTAATCTGAATCGTACATGAATGCCAGCAGCAGCATCTAGAAGTTCTGCCTATAAGAAAGTACATTACTCTTCAATGTTCTATATATATCATCTTGCTGCTTTTCATTCTACTATTTTAAAATAGTTGCTGGATATTGATTACTTACAAAATAGATCAGGTGAAAAGAACTCAAATAATTAGTTTTAAATTAAATTTTTTTTCAAGCTAAAGACATATCTCTTACAGACCCAGTAACTAAAATAGCTTATATGACAACTGAAAAAAAAATGGTACCAAACTATTTCCTTTCTATACTACATACAAATATAAAAGTCAAGCAACTTATTATTCATAAAAATTAAGTCATCATTAAGTCATATATGATTTACATATAAAATATTATTTTATAAATTCAAGAAAAGAAAGATGATTGGTCAACCCAAGTTCAACACCAGATGATCTTTCCTAATTAGATTTTGTTAAATCAAAAACCCAGGTTTAAAAATTGTAAGTATTACACATAATAGGTTTTCTAAATTGTAGTGCTTTGTTCAACATCTCTAGCAATTAGAGAAATGTAATCAAAACTTCTCTAAGATTTCATCTCACTGCAATCAGAATGGCAGCTATTAAGAATACAAACAACAAAAAGTGTTGGTGAGGATGTGGGGTAAAAGGCACATTCATACATTGCTGGTAGGTCTGCAAATTGGTGCAGCCAATATGGAAAACAGTATGGAGATTCCTTGGAAAACTGGGAATGGAACCACCATTTGACCCAGCAATCCCACTCCTCCATCTATACACAAAGGACTTAAAAACAGCATACTACAGGGACACAGCCACATCAGTGTTCATAACAGCACAATTCACAATAGTTAAACTGTGGAACCAACTTAGATGCTCTTCAACAGAGGAATGGATAAAGAAAATGTGGTATATATAGGCAATGAAAAATTATTCAGCATTAAAAGGGAATAAAATCAGGGCATTTGCAGGTAAATAAATGGAGAATATAATGCTAAGTGAAGTAAGCCAATTCTAAAAAAACAAATGCTGAATGTTTTCTCTAATATAAGAATGCTGACTCATAATAGTGATGGGGAGGGAGCATGGGAGGAAGGGGGGAACTTTAGATGGGCAAATGGGAGGGAGGGTAAGGGAAGGGGCAGGGGGGTAGGAAAGACTGTGAAATGAGATGGACATCATTACCCTAAGTACATGTATGAAGACACGAATGGAATGACTCTACTTTGTGTACAAYCAGAGATATGAAAAATTGAGCTCTATATGTGAATATGAATTATAATGCATTCTGCTGTCATATATAACAAATTGGAATAAATTTTTAAAAATTTTAAAAAAAAGAAAAGCTAGTTCAGGAATAGAAATGCACTAGACCTTAAGAGATGGTGAAAGGAAGTTTGGAATGAAGTAAGAGCACAGGTAAGAGAAGCTGATGGGGGGCTGGGGATATAGCTCAGTTGGCAGAGTGTTTGCCTCGCACACACAAGGCCCTGAGTTCAATCAATCCCCAGCATCACAAAAAAGAAAAGAAATAAAAGAGAAAGAGAGAGAGGCTGATGGGGATATGAATAAAGGGTTACAGAAAAGACAAAAGATGCATCACAAAGTGTCTGTGTGATTTGGGTGAGCAGTGAAGGGAATTTTTATGTTTCAAAAACAAAACTAACAATGAACTTTTTAAAAAAAATAGTTATTTTTTAGTTGTAATTGGACACTATACACTTATTTTATTTATTTATTTTTATGTGGTACTGAGGATCGAACCCAGGGCCTCGCACATGCTAGGCCAGCACTCTACTGCTGAGCCACAATGCCAGCCCCACAGTGAACTTTTTAATGTACTCATTTCCATGTGACCAAGAAGCAATCAAGAATGCTGTTTCACATGTTTTTTAAAAAAAAATGTGCTGTACTAGCTCTGAGTCATTATTCCTCTATCAGAGGGTAATGTCCCACCTAGCCCCAGCTTTCTGTGTGTGTGTATGCCTCTTGTTTCTCAATCCCCTATTGCCCCTTGCTGGTCTTTCCTGAACTAACAACCAGGCTGAGAGATTGTGCTGTGGCAATATATGATACTACCAATCAAATGAGAGCTGAGCAGCTATACCAATTTAAAAAACAATTGAATTAAGAGCAAGAAAAACTTTGGGGGTTAAAGAGAAGCATTACATGATGATAAAGTGGTCAATTCTCTAAGAAGACATAAAAATCCCTGATGTGTGTAAACCTAACAGAGCATAAACTTATATGAGGCAAAAATTGATGGAACTACAAAGAAAAACAGAGGGATCCATTATTATAGCTGGAGATACCAATACTCCTCTACTAATAAATGACAGATTCAGTAGGCAGAAAATCAGTAGGGTCACAGTTGACCGTGGCAGCACCATAATTGACTAGATCTACTTGATAACACTTCATCTAACAGCAGAATATACCTGAGAATATTCTTTTCAAGCTTATACAGAAGAAATACCAAGATAGACTATATCTGAGTCATGAAACAAACCTTAATAAGTTTAAGATCAGCAATAGAAAGACAAGAGGAAAATACCAAACGCTGGGTATTATAAATAAAAAAATATGTTCAATGAGAAGTCTACAATACAATAATAAAAACTAGAAAGTACTTAGAACTAAGTGAAAAAAGAACTTATCAAATTTTTCAAAATATAGCAAAAACAATGCTTAGAAGAAAATTTATAGCATTGAATTCATATGTTGAAAACAAGAAAGATCTGAAATCAATAATCTAATGTTCCACCTTAAAAAGCTAGAAAAGGGGGCTGGGATTGCGGCTCCGTGATAGAGCGCTTGACTAGCATGCATGAGGCACTGGGTTCGATTCTAGGCACCACATGCAAATAAATTTTTAAAAAATAAAGGTCCATCAACAACTAAAAAAATTTTTTAAAAAAAGCTAGGAAATAAACAAACAGTTACTTGGGAGGCTGGGGCATGAGGACTGTCACAGCAATAGTAAAAGATAACAAAGTTAGAGAACTGACACTACCCAATATCACAAGACTTGCTATTAAGCAAAAGCAATCAAGACAATGTGATACTGGTGAGACGATAAACAAATACATGAATGGAGCAGAAGAGAAAGCCCAGAAATAGACCTGCATAAGTACAGTCAACTGATTGTTGAAAAACAAGAAAAAGTAATTCCTCGGAGAAAATATGTCTTCAATAAATGGTGGTGCAATTCACAATAGCTAAATTATGGAACCAACCTAGATGCCATTCAGTAGATGAATGGAGAGGGAAACTTTGGTGTATATATACACAAATAGAACATTACTCAGCATTAAAGAGAATAAAATCATGGCATTTGCAGGTAAATGGATGAAATTGGAGACTATAATGCTAAGTGAAGCAAGCCAATCCCCCCAAAACAAAGGCTGAATGTTTTCTTTGATATGAGGATGCTGACTCATAATGGCCTTGTGGGGGAGATATGGGAGGAATGGAGAAAATTCAGATAGGGCAAAGGAGAGGGAGGGGAAAGGAGGGGGCAAAGGGGTAGGAATGATGGTGGAATGAGTCAGACATCATTACCCTAATACATGTATGAAAACTCAAATGGTGTGAAAATACTTTGTGTACAATCAATGACTTGAGAAATTGTGCTCTATATATGTAATATGAAATGAATTGCATTCTGCCATCATGTATAACAAATTAGAATAAATCAATAATTTAATTTTAAGAAGTGGTAATGCAACTGGAGGAATAAAGGAATATGATACAAATCTTATAAAATATTAAGAAGAAATCTAAATGAATTGGGTTGGGTGACAATTTTTTTTAAGATACAACACCAAAGTTATGACATGTGGAAGAAAATATTATAGATGAACCTTAGTAAAATTTAAAATTAAGTTCTACTCTGTGAAGATTACAAATAGTATGAAAAGACRAGCCATAGACTAGGGAAAAAATATTTTCAAAACATATATCTAATAAAGGACTGGTATTGAAAACATGAGAAGACCTCTAAAAATTCCAAAATGAGAAAATGAAAAACTTGATTTAAAAATGGGCAAAAAGATATCTATAAAGATATCTTACCAATAGTGATATACAGTAAGCATATAAAAAGATGCTCAACCATATATGTTATCAGGTATGTTAGTCAGGTTCTCATCATTGTATCCAAAATACCTAACAACAACGATTTGGAAAAGGAAAGGTTTATTTTGGCTCCTGGTATTAGAGGTTCAGTCCATGGTGGGTTAACTCTATCTCTTTTGGCTCAAGAATAGGCAGAATATGATGGAGAAAAGGCAAAGAGAAGAGCACTCCATTCATGACAGCCAAGAAGCAGAGACAGGGGGCTGGAGGAAGGGGCTGGAGGGGAAGATCAACTCTTCCAGGGCATGCCCCCAGTGATCATCCAACTCCTCCAGTATGCCTTACCTACCTAAATTAACACACAGATAATTTCATCAACGTAATTGAAAAATTGACTTAATTCACATCAATACATTATGCCCAACTAAAGAATACATTACGTCTAGATAAAAATTTACAAAAATAGACATGAAAAGATTGAAATCACAATGCAATTAAGATAAATATTAGTAATAAAGAGATAACTTGGTAATTCCTCAATTTTAAAAGTACAATTCTAGCTGGTGTGATAGTGCATGCTTGTAATCCTAGAGGCTTTCGAGCTAAAGCAGGCGGATCTCAAGTTCAAAGCTGGTTTTAGCAACTTAGCAAGGCCCTAAGCAACTTAGCGAGATCCTGTCTCAAAATAAAAAATAAAGAGGGCTGGGGATGTGGCTTAGTGGTTAAGTGCCTCTAGTACCAAGAGGAAAAAAAAAAGTACAATTCTAAATAACTTTAGAAATTCAAGTAGAAATTTTAAAGTATGTAAGCTGCAGCTAAAAGCATGCTTAAGTTAAAATTTATGGACTCAACTACAAAATACAGTGGGAAATTATAAGTTCAGCATTCAGTTCAAAAAAGTTAGAAGAGTAACAGTTAATATAATTCAAAGAAATTATAAAGAAGGAAATAAGAAACAGCAGGACATGATGAACTAGAAAACGATGAAGTCAGAAAGGCATGAACAATAGAAAGGAAAAATAAAGCTGAAATTTCGTTCTTTGAAAAGACTAATAAAAGTGAAATTGGTCAAAAAAGAAAAGACAAATTATCAGGAATAAAATTTTAAAAAACTATTATAGATTCTAAAATATTAGAAAGATCATAAGAGAATATTATGAGCAATTTTAACTTCAACCTTAATAAATTTGAAAATTTAGGTTAAATGGACAACTTCCTAGGAGAATACAACCTATCAAAGCTAGCAGAAGAATAAATACAAAATAAGAATACATCTTTAACTATATATTGGATTTATAATTTAAAATCTCACAAAGAAAACTTCTGGCACAGACGGCTTCACTGGTAAGTACTTATCCTCTTTTAAGAAAAAAAATAACATTTAATGTAAAAACTAAATCTAGAAAATAAGTGGGGAAGGCACATTTTCCTATCTGTTTTAGGAGGCCACTAAGGTTTGTTTGTTTGTTTTTTAATTTTTTTAATTTGGTCTTTTCAGTTATACATGACAGTAGAATGTATTTGACATCGTACATACATGGAGTATAAGTTCCCATACTTGTGGCTGTACAAGTTAAAATGTGGAGTTATACCATTCGTGTATTCATATATGAACATAGGAAAGTTATGTCCAATTCATTCTACTGTCTTTTCTCTATTCCCATTCACCTTCCCTTCCCTTCATTCCCCTTTGTCTATCCCAGTGAACTCCTATCCCCACCTCCCACTTATTGTGATATGCATATGCATATCAGAGAGAATATTCGGAGGCCAGCTAAGTTTGACACAAAAATCTTGACAAAAACAGTACAAAAAAGTAAATTACATGTTCTACATGAACATACATGTAAAAATTTCAACAAAATATTAGCCAACTGTATATATTTGGTGATACTTAAAAAGACATGACCAAAATGTGTGTATTCTAGGAAACTTAACAAAAGAAACAGAAGAAAAATAATACATCAATTAAAGCAGAAAAATGTCTCTGAAAACTTAATCAATTTTCTTGGATTTAAAAAAAAATGATTGTAGCTTAACAAAGAAGGAAACTTTCTTAATCACATAAAAGGTTTCTACAAAACAACTCAGTAGCACAATTCCTATTTAATGATAAAATACTGAAAATGAGACAAAGGTCATCATTTCTATCAATCATTATTTAAGGTTCTACTCAATGCAGAAAGAAAAATAAGTRATGCATAATGTTAAGAAAGGGGAAAATATCTGAACATGATATTTTTTCTATAGAAACTCCAAAATAATTCATGTTCCAATTATTACAATTAATAAATGAGGATTATAGAATTACTGGAAACAAAGCTAATATATAAGAATTGATTATCTTTCTATATATTAATAAAAAATTTTGTAATTTCCATTTATAGAGCAAAGAATAAGGTATAAGTCTAATAAAAGATGTGTAAAACCTCTATTCAGAAAACTATAAAACATTATTGATAGAAAAATACATAAAAAGTAAATAATGTGGCCCAATGGATTTTCCAGAAGAAAGTGCTGATATGAAGTTTGGGTGTCACAGGTTTACTGTGGGTCAACAAACAATCTATGAAATAAGGAGAAGAATGATGAACTGGACAAAGGAAGAATTTGAACTGCAATGCAAGCCCCACAAAACCTGGGCTAATCATGCAGGGAGCTCTAAAATGAATTTTGTCCACATCACAAAGACCTTTAATACCCTTCTGCCCACCTACCACACTCTGCTTGGTCCCTGGATGTGGGTTGCCCTGGAAAGAGTTGACTTAACATGAAAGCAGTTCTCTGCAGAAAATGGAGAAACTGAAGATGGTCCCAGCCAGCAGGAGGCTGTCTGCTGTCTATAATACCCAAAACCGAGTATTAAATCCATCTGTGAAGACAGATTTGAGCAGCCCATCTCACATTTCCCATAAAAGTTCATGGATTAAAGCTCTCAATATTGTCATGATGTCAGTTTTCCTCGAATTGATCTAAATATTCAACACAATACCAATTAAAATCTCAATAGGTGTTTATCAGCCTTTACTGTGGTAAAATATAACATAAATGTACCATTAGTGACATTTAGTTGTTTCATAATGTTGTATAGCCACTATTGACTTGCAGAATATTTTCTTCACTCCAAAAGGAAACCCTATATCCATTAATCAGTTGTTTCCCCATTCTTCCTTGTTTACAGGCCCTGGCAACCACTAGTTTTTCTCTTTATTAATATTCTCTATTTTATCAGACATCTCCATGTATCATTTTCCTTTGCCTACTCCTTCCCAACTTTTGAGTTTTCCTGTTCTTGCTTTGTCTGTTATCTCTTAGTTGCAGGTAGTATATGACTAAATAATGGATCTGGGACTGTGTGAAAATGCTGAAACAAAGGCAAGACTCTTCAAGGTCCCTCGGGAACTGCCAGGTAGATAATAAATCACAACTACAATTTTTGTGAACCATCTCTGTATTTTGAATCCTGGTTCTCGTAAGCCACTCCAGAAATTTGGGCCTTTTGTTTTCCTGGCTGCTGCCAAGTTGGAGAATGGGGACCTTAGATTGGTAAGCGAAAAACACTTCAATGTTTGTTTTGTTTTTAGTACTGAGGATTGAATCCAGGGGTTCTTTACCCTTTATCTCTGAGCTACATCCCCAGTGCTTTTTTTTTTTTTTTTTACTTTTTGTTTTTGWGATAGGGTGCTCCTTAAGTTGTGAAGGCTGTCCCCAAACTTGTGATCCTTCTGCCTCAGCCTCCCAAGTATCTGGGATTACAGACATGTGCCACTGCTCAGCCTGGAATGGTTTCTTAACAAGATTTGGTGACCTTTACTTTCATTAGAAAAGGCCCCCTTTAAGTTTTTAAATTATTTGATTTCAGAGTTCTGAAATCTAATTCAATCCTCAGCACCACATAAAAATAAATAAATAAAATAAAGGTACTGTGTCCAACTACAACTAAAAAATAAATATTTAAATTTAGATTTCAGAGTTCTGATAAGGTTGATTTTGACAGTTGCTCTTAGAGTCCCTATTTCATCATTGTCACTCCTCTAATAGACTAGAGTAGGAGGCTGGAGATTGATAAATTAAAAAGTTTACATGAAAATATAAGACATATAAGAATAATCTGGAGTAGTCTTCTCAAAGAAGAATTATAAGATTGGAGAACTCTATCATAGAACAGACTTGTTATAAAGCTATTGTAGTTAAGACCAGAATAGAAAAATAGAACAATGGAACAGAGTAGAAAATTCAGGAACAAATAAATACATAAACTACCTCTTAATTTATTATAAAAGTGGCATTGTAAAAAGTCAAATTTTTACTAATTCTGCCCCTCTCTCCTAACTTTATTGTGTACACATAAAATTTACCATCTTACCCATTCTAAGTGTGATATTAAATACATTCATAATGTTGTACAACTATCACTGTCATCATCTTCATAATTCTTTTCATCTTGAAACAATGTTGAATGAATAAATGCATACCCCAAAGCGTACTATGAAATTCTATTCATATGTAGTTAAAAAATGGGAAACTAAAGTGTGATGTTAGATTAATGCTCACTTTTTAGAAGGAATCGTTGGCAGTAATTTTCAGGGCATCTGAAGGAGGCAATTTGGAGTATGAAAACATTGATCTGGGKGATGATTCATTTAACTATATACTTTATGAAGTTTCTACATGTACATAATATTTCAATAAAAGGGTTTAATAAAACAAGTATGCACATACTGAATTGATAAAATATTCATATATTTTAAGGAAAAATATAAGGTGTTATAATAAATAAATAATGTCCTTACCTCTTTAGGATTAATATATTTTACTATCTGATGCGGTTCTCCTTGTCTTCTTAAATTAATCAGACTTTTAAAGTGTTGAAATACAGCAACATTCTAAAGGTTCAAACATAAGATTTTGTAATTTGCTGTTTGCCTAATTAGGGCAAAAATAAAAACTATAAATACAGATTTTATGAACTTAAGTTGGATTTTTGGAAATAATATCCACTCAGGGTTAGCTTTGATAAGCCACGTAATGTTGGCATTATTCTCATAAAGAGTTTTACCCTTAAATTTACAATTGCATCACCATGAGCTGTAAATAAAATAGCCAAAACTTTGGTTAGTCACCTCTGTTTACTCTTCAGAGTAATCTAAGAGAAAAACAAAATGTAGTTGACTGGTTAAGAAAACTGAATACAGCATAATATTATCTGTATTCAACTCTTATACTTACTAAGACAAGGACCCAGGACAAGCTGCTTAACATCTACTGTGCTCAGTTTCTTCATGTATACAATGGGAATGAAAGTGATTATTTCACAAAGCAATGATGATGAATAAATGTGTTAATATTGTAAAGCACCTAGAATAGTTCCTGGCACAGGAAAGAGCACAGTAAACATTAAGTTATTAACACTACAGAATCCCCCTTACTCCCAAAGTAATTCCCCTGATTTACAAAACCATCTGCTTTTCCCATTTGTGCAAATTTACTCAATCAACCCCATGTAATTCTTCTATCTTGGAAAACTATTTCTTGGGTAATCCTCCCCTCATATCTTGTCCACCTGAAAACCCCTTAGCAATTCTTGGTAAACTCCCTGCCTCCCCTATTTGTTTATGTTAAGTTACATAAAATAAATTCAAAGTGAAGTAATACATAATATCAACGTAACAGTATGAAGCCCTATTGCAATTGTTTATGGACAATGGAGAAGCCCATGTCCAAACAATTAGTATTCTTTCTGAAAGGAATACATAGCTCCACCAAGTAAAATGCCAAAATGGGTAAACAAGAAAATTTAATTATGGCTCAAAATCTGACTAGTATCTTATAAATATGTAGATTACTAGATTATAGCTATCTACTAATGCATAACTTAATATAAGCAGAATTGCTAATGACCTACTGCCTTCAGAAATAAAGGTTTGGATCAATTCCCAGATAAGGAGCCACAACCAGCTCAGGCACTTCCTAAAGAAAAGGAAATACAGGGGCTGGGGTTTTGGCTCAGTGGTAGAGTGCTCACCCAGCATGTGCGAGGCCCTGGGTTCGATCCTCAGCACCACATAAAAATAAATAAATAAAATAAATGTATTGTGTCCAACTACAACTAAAAATTAAATATTTTTAAAAAGAAAAGGAAATATGGAGTGGTGAGCAGAAGAATAAAGTTAAAAATATCATAATCACTTTCAGAAACTAGTATTTATCAGCATTTCCTTTTTATATTTATATATAAATATTAACCAATTTTTTTTCTTTCTTTTCTCTCTTGCCCATCTCCTTACAACTGAATGTAAGGTATGCTAATGATGGTATGGTTATCAGAATAATGCTCACCCCAAAGATGCTCAATCCTAATCCCAGGAATCTGAAAGTAAATTATATGAAAAGGAGCAATTAATATTGCATTAGCGCCTGGCATGGTGGCACATGCCTGTAATCTCAGAGGCTAGAGAGGTTGAGACAGGAGGATCACAAGTTCAAGGCCAGGCTCAGCAACTAAGTGAGACCCTGTCTATTAAAAAAAAATTGAAGATGACTGTAAGATTAGACTGATAGGCAGACCTTAATCATAAGGGTCTGTGTACGTGAAAGCAGGGAGGAAGAAGAGTCAGTGTCAGAGTGATGTGAAAAAAAATTGACAAAGTCATTGCTGGATTTGAAGATGGAGGAGGAACATGTGCTAAGATGGAAGAACCATTAGAAGCTGTAAAGGGCAAGAAAACAATTTCTTCCTTAGAGCCTCCAGAAAGCAGACAGTCTTAATGACATATTGATTTTAGCCCAGTTAAAATGTTCAGACTTTTTACCTCCAGAAATGTAAGAAAAAAATTTTCCACTTTTTTACTGGTGCAATGTAGTTGACATAATGATGGGATTTGTTATTACATATTTGTACATGTATATAATATAACGATATAATTTGGCCAATATCACTTCTTCCCTCCCTCGCCACCTCCCATCCCTTGGTCCCTTTTCCTCTAAATCCCTTGGATTTTCATGAGATTCATCCCTACCTTTCTTTTCCTTTTTCCTCTTTTTCCTCTCTAGCCTCCACATATAAAACATATGACCCTTGAACTTCTGAATTTGACTTATTTAACTCAACATAATGGTCTCTAGTTCCATCCATCTTCATGCAAATGACAATTTCATTTTTCTTTGTGGCTGAATAAAACTCCATTGTACATATATAGGAAACATTTTCTTTTTCCATTCATCCATCTATGAACACCTAGGTATTGTGAATTGTGTGACTATAAACATGGGTATGCATGTATCACTATAGTGTGCTGACTTTTTAATTCTTCAGGATAAATATTGAGACTGGTATATATAGCTGGTCATATGGTGGTTCCATGCCTAGTCTTTTGAGGAACCTCCATACTGATTTCTATAGTGGTTGTATTAATTTACAATCCCACCAGCAGTGTAAAAGTATTCTTTTTCTGCATATCCTTTCCAGCATTTATTAGTGTTTATATTTTTGATGACTGCCATTCTGACTGGAGTACGATGAAATCTCAGTGTAGTTTTGATTTGCATTTCCTAATTGCTAAGGATGCTAAACATTTTTTCATATATTTGTTGGCCATGTATATTTCTTCTTTTGAGAAGTGTCTGTCTAATTCATTTTCTTGTTTGTTAATTGGGGGGATGGTTGGTGTAAAGTTTGAGTTCTATTAATCCTCTGTCAGAAGAATAGGTAGCAATGATTTTCTCCCATTCTTTACGTTCTYTCTTCACATGTTTGCTTTGCTGTGCAGAAGCTTTTTAATTTGATATCATTCCATTTTTTAATTTTTGGCATTATTTCCTGAGATTTAGGAGAGCTTTGTTTTTTAAAGCACTAGGTTTGTGACAATTTTTGCAGCAGTAATAAGAAATTAATATGTCTTTAACTTTACATCTAGTATTGAATTTATAAGATACCATAGGAAGAGTATGCTCAGCAAAAACAGGAAGAAAAATGATCCGAAGATGGACAAAGTTTCTTTTGGGAAGGGGGTAAATATGTTTTGGCTTATGTGAGGTTTGCTTCATGTTATGAATTAAATTATAAAATTTAATCATTTTAATGTTGACTTTACTTAGAAGTTACAAATGGCCAATAAACACATGAAAAATACTCGGCATAAAGAAAGGCAAATCAAAACCACACTGGGAGGCTGTGGCTCAGTAGTGGAGTACTTACATCACATGTGTGAGGCACTAGGTTCAAATTCTTAGCACAACACATAAAAATAAAGATTTTTAATACAACACTGAGATTCTACTTAACATCAACTAAAATGGCTATTATAAAAATAAAACAGAAAATAAGAAGTATTGGCAAGGATGTATGTGGAGAGCGGTGACAGTGATTGGGAGACTAGTGTCTGAGACTGGTGTCCCTGATGACTTCATGGCGGTGGCATGCTTAGTACCTGGGAAAGTTTCTGTGCAAAGATGCAGGATGCCCTCCATGGGGAGGCTCTGTGCTAGAGTCTGATTAGCCTCAGCCTTGCTCTCAGGCACTCAGCTCCTTGGAATGAAGAAATTCCCTCTCTAAGACAACCACAATGTTTCACCAGCTCCCTGCTGCTGAACCTGCCCATATAATAGTAACTTTTAATAATGGACTTTATTAAGAGCTACATATGCTCCTAACATTGCACATTGCACCTGTAGAATGTAACTGAAGAATAAGCTGCATTATGTTGCTAACTCTAACTTTCATGAATACAAAGAATAATGCTTACATAGTCTTTAATCTGATTAACGAGACATATATAATAAAKATTGCTGGTGTAATTCTTCAGACCTGCTTCTCCATCAGAGAGCAGCGTCCTACCCAATCCAAGCTATTTATTTCACAATCTGAGTTCATGAGTCTTATTTCTTCCAATCTCCCATTGCCCCTAGCCAAAAACTGCTAGTTTAACTGTGTTAGTTACAGCAGATGTACAGAAATTAGAAACTTTGTACATTACTGATAGAAATGTAAAATAGTACAGTAACTATGGAAAGCAGTTTGGTGGTTCCCTCACAAAGTTTAATATAGTATTATAATTTGACACAGCAATTTGAATTTTAGATATATACCCAAAGGGATTTTTTTAAAAAGATAGGGCAGAGGGGTAGGAGGGGGCATGGGGTTAGAAATGATGGTGGAATGTGATGGACATCATTATCCAAAGTACATGTATGAAGACACAAATTGGTATGAATATACTTTGTATACAACCAGAGATATGAAAATTTGTGCTCTATATGTGTAATATGAATTATAATGCATTACACTGTCATATATAAATAAAATAAATTAATTTTAAAAATCCATATATTTGTAYCTTGATATCATTGTAACTTTGGAAACAATATAGCAACTAACAGGGTGTCCTTTGAAATGAAAAAAAAAAAGGTTTATTGAGAAGATCAGCCTTGAAATAAATCAATAAGACTAATACTTTATCATTACTACAGTAAAAATATTTTACTAAAATTTTTGTCTTAAATATGAAGAAACAGAATTTATAACTAAATGGATTTCATCACATTGACAACATTTTCCTCCTTTGTACTTTTTGGCTCTTACAAATAAAATTTCCTTGAGCAATCAAAAAAAAGTGCTCAGATACTTGAATATGAATTTTCATAGCAGCATCATTCACAGTAGCTCAAAACTAGAAACAGCCCAAATGGCCATTAACAGATGAATGGATAAACAAAACATGCTAAGCACACACACACACACAGCAATTTTATTCAGCCTTAAAGACAAATGAAATTCTGATACATGCTATAAATTGGATGAACCCTGAAAACTTGATGAAATAAACCAAACACATAAACCCCCAAACTTACTTATATGAGGTACCTAAAATAGGAAATTAATAAAGACAAAGTAGAATAGAGGTTACCCAGGCAGGTTTGGAGAGTAAGACAGTGTTAGTAAGACAGTATTATTTAATGGTGTAAGAAGTTCTGTTTGGGATGGTAAAAAAGTACTGAAAATGGATGGTGAGAATGGGTGTACATATAAGTCACTAAGCAAGTGACTACATCAATACAAAATAAAGTTGTTTTTCTGGCAAGATATGTTGTAAAACATATCTATTGAGATAATCTTTTTTTTTTGTCCTTAATTCTGTTAATGTGGGCCATTACATTTACTGATTTGCATATATTGAATGACCATTCCACCTGAGGGATAAATTCCATTTGATCATAGTGAATGATTCTTTTCATGTACTGTTGAATATGGTTTGCTAGTATTTTGTTAAGAATTTTTGCATTTATGTTCATCAGTGATATTGGCCTATAGTTTTCTTATAAAACCTTTGCCGGACTTGTAAAGTAATTTCATATCCTATTTTGGTTTCCATTACAAACCCGTTCCTTCACTGGAATCCCCTTGAAGTGTATCTTGGCAAGTGCTTCTCCCAGCTTCCTCCAACATCATGCTACCTTCTATTTTGGGTTTTTCAGAAGTTAGATAATATTTCTAATCTGCTTATGAAATTCCTTCTGTCTGTTATGAATTAACCTTCTACATACATCATATCAATGGGATTGTGGAAGGATAGAAGGTTAAAAAATGTGTGCTCAGAATATTAATCCACACACACTTATTTGTTTTTATACTTGGTTTCTCTGCTGTAGCCCCTTTAAGGCAAGAATGTATTGTGAAATGCCTAGCAGTGACAGGATTACATAATTATTCAAAGTCACATGGCCAGTTGGGTGTGGGAGAAAAAAGTTACAAATAATAAAGCTTAAGCCTAGATTGTGAGTCTGTTGACAGACACAAAGAAATATTTTAAAAGAAAATTACCGTTTTAGTGTTGGAAGTCAACATAGTTATGCCCCAGTTTAAGTTTTATGGCTTTTTTAGAAACAAAAGAGATAAACAATAGAAGCTATTTTACAACATTTGATTAACTGCTAGAAACAGAGCCACAAAAAACTTCACATAGAATCGCCAGGAAAGATCAAATATAGCTGCTATTAGAGAGAAAAAAGTGAAGTCATTTTAGCTCTTGGCTCTCACCCAATCAGGTAAGCCAACTTGGAATATTCCTCACAACTATGAGACCAACTCTGCCCAAGGAGGAGTACAATAAGTAACTAACACCTTAATCCAAATGCAATATATTATTAAACTACAGGCTCCTCAAGGGTAAATATGTCACAAATCTGATTCTCTAGTCAAAAAAACAAAAAAACATTTAAAGGTGAAGGTCAAATGAGACTATTAGTGATACTTTTACTGATAGCAGCCATTATCAAAGTGCCTAGTTCCACTGAGGAACTTCATATTTGTGAAACTAACAAAATAATTGTGTTTTTCTGAAATTTAAAGTCTGCTTTTAAAGTAAAGAGTAAAATACAAAACCTGAAAAACTAAAAAAACTACTGAATTCTACAATTTACACAGGTTAATTTTATGACATATAAATTATAATCTCAATAAAGATGCTAAATAAACTCACAAGAAACTTTTTCCAGGCCCTCTGAATGACTTCTGCAGCCCTTTCTTTCCTTATAGTTTCTATTTCTTTTTTCCCAGGCATTTGAAAGTCCTAAAAGAAAAAACAAAGGATTTATTTAAAATAATTTTCTATACTCTACTATGAAACTGACACTAGAATACAGCAGAAATTTAATAGAGTTGTATGAGTGAAAAAATGAAAATGAGATTTGGTATCAAAATATTTATAATAGGGCTGGGGATGTGGCTCAAGTGGTAACACGCTCGCCTGGCACGCTCGGGGCCCTGGGTTGGATCCTCAGCACCACATAAAAAAATAAACATATTGTGTCCACTGAAAACTAAATACAAAAAATTTCGTTCTCTCTCTCTCTCTCTCTCTCTCTCTCTCTCTCTCTTTAAAAAAATATTTAAAATAAAAAGTAGTCACTTATTATTGATTATCTAATATGTTCCAATTTATTATTTCTAATCCCAACAAGGACACTAAATAGCAGAGTTTATTAATATGCTTATAGTAGAGATGAGAAGAATGAACTAAAGGCTTAAGATCAAGTAGTAACAAAGCCAGTACTGAACTGAACTCCAGTCTGTTGTGGAAGTCCATGGTCTTAACATACTTTCTTGTTTGCTTGAAATAAAGTTCTCTTAATATGCAGAGAAACAGATACATTCCCAAAGTTGGATAGGCTTCTAACCTAGAATTAGAGGTGATGGTAGACTTTTTCAGTATAGCCCTTAACCACATTGACTATTTAATAAATCATACATTATTTTTAAATGAAGCTTTACTATTAAGGAGCAAAACAAAATCACTATTGCTAATTCACAATTTTTATTCATACCATAAAGAATTAATAATAAAAGTCAGAAAGATATTCTAGTTTTTTACTGTGTTAGTCATATTTTCATCACTGTGACCAAAATACCTGACAAGAACAACTTCGAGGTGTAAAGATTTATTATAACAAATGGTTTCAGAGGTTTCAGTTTATGGTCAGCCACCTCCATTTCTTTGGGCCTGAGGCATCATGGTAGAACATCATGGTAGAAGGACATGGTAGAGGAAAGCTCCTTGGCTCATGCCAGTCAGAAAACAGAGAGGAAGAAGAAAGGAGCCTTTCCAAAGTATATCCCCAGTGCCTACTTTCTCCAACTAGATGCCACCTCCCTGTTGTCCATTCAGCCATCAATAGATTAATTCACTGACAAGGATAAAGCACTCATGATCTGATGATCACTTTCCCAAAGCCCCACTTCTGAATACATAAGACCTTAGGGAACATTCTAGATCCAAACTATAACAGACTCCCTTAAGAAATGTCAGTAAGCTAAATTCATATTTGTGCTGCCTAAATACTTATTACCCTAACAAGCATCTCCTTCAAAATTAAATGGTTAGATCGAAAATTAAGACTATTCCAGTATTGCTCCAGTGTAATCAAAAGAGAGAAAGAAGAGCAAGAATTTTCATTTGTGTAGGTTATATAAATTATGTACAAATTTACTCATTTTTCACTGTATATATTGAGAAGAGGTATACATAAAATTTACAAGTAACTCATTGCTTTTGGTAGTTTTCTTACACTAAACCATAGAAGGAATGCTGATGAAGTTAGAGACTAAAGATGTGGTTTAGATTTAGTTCATGCTGCTATTTAATGTAACCTTGGACAAACAGCTTAACATCTTTAGGCTTCAGTTTCAACATTTGTAAATGCAATAAAGTAATTCCAAAGGCTATTTCAGTTTTACAACTTTATGAATTTACATTATAAAGGGCACAATACTCTAATGGTCAAATATAAAGAAAAAGGGTGCTGCACTGAAGACAGGGAGACATATGAATTTTAAATTTTGCTTAAATTTTTTAAATTTTGAACTGTTGCTTGTAAAATGAATAATTTGTATTTACAAGTGCCAAAATCCTGATTTAAACATATACACATCTAATATATGCATTGTATTTAGAGGTGCAGAGACCAAACAGTAAAACTATCTAAACATATACCATTTACAGAAAAAAATGAAAGAAAAACCTATTTATATATTTTCTTCATCTATTATTCTATCTGATGTTTGAAAATTAGTTGAGATTTTAAAACTAAAGATGTTTTTCTGTGTATATTGTCAATTTTTTATAATTGAATTTTTTTTTTAAGAGTAAGAAGAAGGTTCTCCATGAGAAGTAATTTGTCTTTTTTTTTTCTTTCCGTACAAAGAGTCTTTACAATATAGAAGGCATGAGGAGATAAGTTAAGTCTTTGGTCTTTGAAGTAAGTCAGACCAGTGTTTTTTGCTTTTTGAGTTAGGATCTCTCTGTTGCCCACACTGGTCTCAAATTCCTGGGCTTAATCAATTCTCCTGCTTTAGCCTCCTGAGTGCTGGGATTATAGGCTGTACCACCCCTCCAGGGTTTAAAGCAACAAATTCTACCTCTTATTTAGCTGTGTAATCTTGCACAGTTACTTAATTTATTCAAACTTCATTAGTTTCCTTATTTGTAAAACATGAGGACTCACAGTACTACCGCATTGAATTGTGAAGGTTAAATCAGATAATACAGGGAAGCATTTAGTATGATTTCTGGCCTACCAAAACCACTCAATAAATCACATCCATTATGACAATACAAATTATTTTCCAAAATAATAACTATTCATGTGCATTATTTTGTTTATAAAACTAATGTAACTAGAGCCAGGTGTGGTGGCATGACTTAAGGAGGGCCTCAGCAACTTAGTGAGGCCCTATTTCAAAATAAAAAATTAAAAAGGGTTGGGGTGTTGCTCAGTGGTTAAGTTCCCCTGGGGATTCAATCCCCCGAATAAAAACACAACCCCAAACCTCACCAATGTAACTAAATATTTCAAGCACACTTACTTTTTTAAATTTACAAATAACTATTAGAACAAATGTGAGTAAAAAAATACTATGGGGGTGGTAAAAGATTTGTTAATTTTGATCAAAGATTACTTTTCTGACAAATATACTTTCTAGCCATCAGGTAGAGAAATATAATTTATCTATGTATTATATAACACTTCAGGGGGAAAAAAAAAATCAATGTAATTTTTTTTTTTTTTTTTTTTGTACCAGGGACTGAACTCAGGGCACTCAACCACTGAGCCACATCCCAGCCTTATTTTGTATTTTATTTAGAGACAGGGACTCACTGAGTTGCTTTAGCACCTTGCCATTGTTGAGGCTGGCTTTGAACTCACAATTCTCCAGTCAGCCTCCTGAGCCGCTGTGGTTACAGGTGTGCACCACCACACCTAGTAGTTTTAATAATTTTTTTAAAATATTTTTTTAATCTTTGTTTATTCATTTTTATTTGGTGCTGAGGATTAAACCCAGTGCCTCACATGTGCGAGACAAGCACTCTGCCACTGAGCCACAACCCAGCCCCATAATTCTTTAAAATATTGTTGCTATATCATTAAAAGAGACAAATACAGAAGACAGCTTTGCCATCTTAGATTTATCATAAAAAACCCAAAATTTCAAATTTAAAATGTGAGACAAAGAGATAATTGGGGCTGGGGATGTGGCTCAAGGGGTAGCGCGCTTGCCTGGCATGCATGCGGCCCGGGTTCGATCCTCAGCACCACATACCAACAAAGATGTTGTGTCCGCCGAGAACTAAAAAATAAATATTAAAAATTCTCTCTCTCTCTCTCTAAAAAAAATAAAAATAAAAAAGAGATAATTATAATGAGTTTTAACACATGGAATTCACCTCATTATTACACCTTAGTTTTCTTGTCCATGTTCTTTTTCAATGGAAAAATGAAAGAATACAGAATACAGTTTATTTATACACAAAGACCATAGAATAATAACAGTAGCATTCAAGATACTGGTAGATATCTTTCCCTAACATCCCATTAACATTTAAAATACAAAATTATTCATGATACTATATAGATGTTTACTTTAACAGTTATGATGTAAATAATATATAAATTCAAACAATAGAACTATAAAGAAAAAAGCAAAAATCATCCACTCCCTTCTCTTCTTTGAGGAGTGCATTCTTCAAAGGTCATATCTGTTGATATGTGATTCTTCCAGACATTTCCTTATATATTTGAAAATACTGGTGCTGAGGTTGTGTCTCAGTAGTGGAGTGCTTGCCTAGCATGTGTGAGGCACTGGGTTCGATTCTCAGCACCATATATAAATAAATAAATAAATAAATGTCTATCAACAACTAAAAATTAAAAAAAAATACATGTAAGTGCAAACACACTGTATACACAAGTATGTATTCATATTTTATATATACATCTTATATAGCCACATGTACATGAACACAGTTTTGTTTGCATTAATGTGATCAAACTATACATGTTTAAAAAATTATTTTTGTTGTTATAGATGGACAGAATGTCTTTATCTTGTTTATTTTTATGTGGTGCTGAGGATGAAACCTTGTGTCTCATGCATGCTAGGCAGGTACTCTACCACTGAGCTACAGCCCCAGCCCCTAAACTATACATATTTTTTTAACTTAATCTGTGTTGGAAATTTTTCCATGTTAATGCGTATAGATTTTGTTCATTCTTTTGTAGTTGCATAGTATTCCTGGGTGTGAATATGTTACTCTTTCCTCCATTATTGGACATTCAGGTTTTTTTCTGTTACAATTCCAAAATGAATTATCTATATACGTATACTTGTGTACACATGCAACTATTTTTGTTAGCTTTTCAGACTGCTTTGACAAAAGGTATGCACATCATATTAGCACTGACTTTCTCTGGAAGGGAATAAAATAAACTGCTGAGATTGATATCTCGGGGGAGGATCCAGCAGATTATGAAATCTGGGTTCAGGAAGAAAACACATTATATTCTGCATACTTTTATATTGTTTGGTCTTTTCCCACAATGTGCATATAGTTTAGATATATAACTTCATTAAGAAATAAAAATTTTGACTAAATTTTTGTTAAAAAATCTTGTCCAATTTATACCCAAAAATTTTCTAAAGGATTGCTTAATTATAGATTTTACAAAAGTAAAAATCTAAACATAAGTAGGGCATTAGGATTACAGTGGGTCTTCTAATAGTCTCTCC